TATAGAGGTGGAGTTTTCAAAAGAGAGAGAGGCCTAGGAAGGAAAACCTTCAGGGAAAAGGGAAAAACCTAGCTTCGGCAGGGAAAAAAAAAAAAGAAAGAAGAAAAGGGAGGAAAGAGGTAAGAGTAAAAGAAAGAGTATATAGAAGAGAGGGGAAAAGATAGGAGAGGGAAAATAAAGAGGTATGGGGAAGGGGCATAGAGAGAAGAGAAAAGAAAAGATGAGAAAAGAGTAAACAACTCAAAAATTTCCTAAAAAGGAAATTTTCAAGCGTAGAAAAGGGGAGTGGGAAAGAGTTTTTTTTTTTATATTTATATTAATATTTAAATCTATTTGATTACAATATATATAGGTAGGTCAATTTATTTTATTTTATTTTTTAACCCTTTTTGCCATCAACTCAGGTACCTCTTATCACCTGCCAGTCTTCCAGTGTTTCTCCAGGGTACAGGGGTGATGACTCGGTCCTAACTACTCGTCTTAGGCCTAAGCCTCTAAGTATAGATGGTGGGATGAAAAGTTGCTATTTCAAGGCAAGCAGACCTTTGCTATCATGCCAGAATAATCATTGCCTGCAGCCACTACTATAGTATTTCAACCATTCAGTTTAGTCAAGACTTACTAGGATTTAGTCAGTGAGATATTATTGGCAGGATGAGGGTACACCAGTACACCAAATTTGTCTGGGAATCGGACCCAGCCTTACCCTGCCTAATATGACCTAGCAACACATGTGGGGGGTTACAATTTATGGGGGCATGCAGTCAACTGTCGCAAGTGTACTCCTTAAAATAGAACATCCTGTGATATAAGCAATCTCCTGCAATCCTGACCAGATCCTCACTATTAACAGACATGTGAAACTCTTACTGATAGTTGTGTGACTAATGGTTTTGGCCATTTGTACCTTTCCTTCCACTACTGGAAAGATCACATAAAACTTCTTCCCCTTTTTGGAGGTATTTCCTGGGCAATACTTGATCAGAAAGTTTTACCAATCAGATCACCTATCTTTTGATCTATGGGGTATAGTTTACCCATAAGGCTCCTTGATCGCTAGAACAACCCAAATTGCTCTTTATCACAAGTTATAGGAGCAGTGACACAAAGTCCCATTTTAGGATATGTGAATTGCCCCCAGCTGGGATTGAACTGTGGTTCATAGGTTAGCCCTACCCTGCCTTAGCCCACTGGACTATGACTGGGTAGGTCTATATAGGTAGGTCAATTTAATTTATATATAAAATAGTAATTTATATATTAGTATTGTTTTTTTTTAAATATTAAACCAAAAATATATATTTGATAATCTGAAAGTACTATCTACTATATTATAGATTTACAAGTCTTTTTTTTAGTTTTTATTTTTTTTTAAAGCAAAACACATTGCATATAACTCTTTATTAATTTTATTATTAAAGTTACAATTGTTATATAAAAGATTTAATTAACTAATTTTAGCTATCTTAATTCAAATATCCTAACTTATATCAAGAAGATAGATTTATATATCAGATATAGTCTTTTTTAAAAAGCTTATACCTGTTAACTATCATTAGGATTTTTATTATATTTTCATAGCCAGTTTATATTTTGTAATACTTAATATCTTACTCTTTATACTTCCTAGTAAATATATTAAGAATTGTTTCTATAGTTAGTATAGATTATCAAATCTGGAGATCATCAGGCTTAGTGAAATGCAACTTTTTGAAAATTTTTTTTATAAAATTAAAGAATAGATAATACTTTTAAATTTGAATAAATTTTAATCAAAAATTTTATTTTATTGTATAAATTGTCTTTAATGTTTTTAAATTTTTAAGTTAATGCTTATTTATAATAAAAAGTATAAAATATTTTTTTAACTAAAATTATTATAAATAAAAGTTTTAAAAAATATATAGATATAATTAAAAAAGGATTTTTTAATATTATATTATTATTGTTTAATAAATAATAATTAATAGATATAATATTATATAAATTAATTAAAAAAATAAATAAATATTATTATTATTTTTAAAATATCAAGTATTTATTAATATTTAAATTTTTATTATTATTATTTTTTTTTTTCCTAGTAGGTAAACATTATCTTTTTATTTGTTATTGTATATTGAAAGTATATATTGAGAAAAAAACAATATTTCTTGAATGTATTGTATATAACAAGTTAAATGTTAACTTGTCTACTTGATCACTATCTAACTAATATTATAAAAAATTTCAAAAGCAATACTAAAATATCAGATAGTGAAGTAGCGGCTATACCTATCTACTCAATAAAATTTTATAAAATTTTTTGATTTTTTGAATATAAAATAAATGAAAAGAAAATAATAACTATAATTAAAACTAAAATTAAATCGAATAAACTATAGAATCTATAAGTAGAAATCTAATTATTTTTTCAAGAGAGCTTTCAAACAGGTGTATAGTCATATTTCTTTGGCTTTTTGATTACCATAAATAAAAGAGTACATGTGATATTGTTTGTTATTGTAGTTGATATTGTTATTATTATTATGTTGAAAAATTAGTTTGAATAGATTCAGTTTTTTTTTTGTTGTTTTGACGAAATTTGATTGGATGATTGGAGAGCAACAATCATCTGAAGAGGATAAACTGATTTCAATTTTTTGGACAAAAAGTTTTAGAAATTTTGAAATGGCACAATAAGTATCACTATGATAAAGTTATATATAAAAATTGTATTAAAACAAACAGTAGATCTAATAATTTTATTTGAGTATATTTTTTGAAAAGTATTTGACTTAGTGTATATAATGATATTAATGTATATGATTTTTATGTTATAATAAATAAAAGGAGCAATGTAAAAAAACAAAAAAAAAGAGAACTGCTATGAGCCTTTTCTCATGCAACCAAAGTGTAAGCAAGACTCTCAAACTTGAATAGATTTCAACCAGAGGTCTTATCTTATTGCATCAGTTGTCTTGAAGGTTCTTGAGTTTTTGAACTGGAGTTTACTTGTGATAAAAAGTGTAAACTATTTTTTCTTGACAAAAATTATCATAAAAGAAAATTTTTTAACAAAGTAAATATAATTAAAAAAAAGTTTATATATATATATATATATTGGAGAAGTTTTCTTCAGTAGGTAAATATTATCTCTTTATTTGTTATTGTACTATATATTGAAAGTATATATTAAGAAAGAAACAACATCTCTTAACAAGTATGATAGTGATAATATATATAGTTTTTATAATAAAGTAAAGATAAGAAGAGATACAAGAGAACAGAAAAATAGAGAATTGCCATAAGTCTTTCCTCATATAACCAAAAGATAAGCAAGACTCTCAAACTTGAATAGATTTTAACCAGAGGTCTTATTTCACTGCACCAGTTGTCTTGAAGGCTCTTAAGTTCTTGAGCTGGATTCACTTGTGATAAAAAGTGTAAAACATTTTTTCTTGTTTAAAATTATTATAAAAGAAAAATTTTAACAAAACAGACATGATCAGAAGAGTAAAAAATATATTATTATAAAATTTATATAATGTTTTTATATTAAAAAAATAATTTTCAAAATTTCAAATATACTTTATAATCTTTTTTGAAAATATCATATTTATAATCTTTTATTATAAAATATTTTTATATTATCTCATCATTAAATATATAAAGTTTTTTTATAAATATTAAAACAAATATTTTATTCAATATTATAAAAAATAATTTAATTTACAAATAATTTTATATTATGATTATGATAATGAAGTATAAATAAATAATAAAATAAAAATCTCATTTATGGCATATACAGTAAAATAAAATTTCAGAAAATGCAATTTTTTTTATTCTCAAAATTATATCTAAAAAATTTAATTCAAGATAAAATATTCTAGTATATAAATGGATTCTACAGTTTAGCATAGATTGTAAAAATTGGTTTCTTTCAAAGAATTAAATAACTATTATTTATTCATTTAGTTAGAAATAAATAATAATTTATATTATACTTTTGATTATCTTTAATTTTTAAAATACTAATAATTAACAAATTCGTATTTAAAAGAAATAAGGAATTGATAAATTTGATAAAAAAAACCAACATCAGTAACAACATCTATTTAAAACATCATAATTTTGAGAATAGCATTTCCATTTTCTTGTTACATGTTTCTTTGATATAATTTTTAATGTGACATGGAATTTTTTTTATTTTTATATTTGATTGCCAATGAAAATCAAAGAGCATAAATGCATGTAATATCTAGACAGATTTTCGATTCAACCATCGTGGTTCTGCTTCAATACCTGAAAAACCTCATAATCATCAATGTCAAAGGTTCCTTGAAAATCCCTAATTTTGGATTCATAATATTTCAATTGCGTGTAACCACTCTTTCGACGCAATATGCCTCCAATCCTTAAATCGCTACTACCGAAACAGACAAGGCCAATTTTGGAATCAAATTTCACCTTGTCTAACATGGCTTGTTTGATGCGACTTATCTTACCGAAAGTTTGGTCTTTGCGAGTCTTAAAACTAAACAGGAAACTATTTGCGATGTCAGGATTGAATTCTCCACTATCTTCCCATCCTATAGGATTGTAACCACCGACAATTTCTTCCTCAGTGCTTCCCGAAACTTTTGATACCACTATTATGTTGGGTAAACAATCGATTCTTTCATGTAAGGTCTTAAGACTGAAACTCTCATCTGATGCTCTATATAGTAAATTAAATTTGTAGGGAGTGACATCGTTCGGGAACGCCAAAGACGAAAAGTCATCTTTGGGGTCAATCCAATCTGATAACATTTCCAGGTGCTCGTGCGAAAGAATATTCGAACCAAATTTTCGACGTGGCGGTAGTAGTGAAGATGCGTTGAGGTAATTCGACGAGTCGTAGTAACCTTGTATTTCATTCCAGAGAGCGGCGGGGAATAATTTTGAAAAGGGTTCAATTTTTGAAGAAAAATCTTGAGACGAGATTTCCGAGAATCTTATGTGATAGACGAGGTTTGAGATTTTTCTCGCTATTTCTTGAGTTTCGGAATCAGTCCAGTTTTCGACATTATGATTTTTAATATCTTTGGTCCTATCGTTTTTAATCTTGACATCGCCAATATCATTCACATCGTCGGCATCATCACCACATACATTATCGCACAATCCCACGCAATTCCCGACTCCCCACCTTAGAATCAGATCCCAGATTTCGATTTCTTCCATCTTATTGAAATCATCTCTTTCCAACAATTCAAATAATAGTCCTTCCTCAATATTTAGAAATTCTTTTGTATTTTTGGACAATAAACTCGGAGTTGAAATCAATAATTCCACGCAATAAGATTGCAACGATCTAAAAGAAGAATGATCAAACACTTGTTCAAGTATCGAAAGGACATTTGATTGAATCCATTGTTGGTGATTTTTGATGAGGAATTCTTGGGTGTGCGTGATCAACTCTTCTAATGCCAGCTCGTCAGAACAGATCAAAAGTTTCATTATTTCAACGGGTGGAATCTCGTCAAGGGATGCTGTACCATTGTAGATGTAGCTTTGGTAATGGTTTTTGAAATTCGAGTGTAAGTGTTTAAAATGTTGAACTTCGAGATATCAAAATCCCACTTCCGAAACCGAGATTCACTTACGTCAAAACAATGTCAAAAATTCGAGGCTCAATGTTTGGTTTTTTGATGATCATCAAGCTGCCTTCTTTTTTGACCCACTCGCTAGATAACGCAGCTTCGAAGAATGGACACCTCGCTCTTAATATTGCGCTGTGTGCTTTGAATATTCGGAATCTTTGATTTAAAGGAGCTTGATTCATTGGCGGGGATGACGACGGTGATGGAAAACACGAATCGCCGCCTATTTCTAAGATCACGTTATGATCATTAGGGGTTTTCAGTAGTTTGGTGAGGTCCGATGAAAGTTTTTCGAAGAATGACGACATTTTGATGCTCTACAGAGTCACAGAAACAAGTTTTTGAGAGATTGTTTGTGTTACAAATTGAATTATGTATACAGGTTTTTTATTAATTAGTAATGTAACATAACATTCTAGGTTCTACAATGATCATATGTGAAATAGCGCAGTGAAATTTTGTGATATTTCAACTACAAAGATGTTTTAGAATTCAAACAGGATTGTTCGAGGATTTGACGGTTCAGAAAATTAGGAAAGGACATGTGCAATTTGATTTGCTCTCGATTTTGGGAATAACCAAATCGCCAAGACAATCCCCTAACTTCCGAACTCAAGTGTCCGCCAATCTCTGAACCAAATTTGTCGAGAAAATTATAACCAACGCTGCCAAAAGGTTTCACTATCTTATCAACATTTTCCATTATTGCCGAATTTTTAGCATAGAAATTACCAGACATGTAAAAAGGAGGCCAACCATTCTTGCTAAAAGTGATCGTGATCTCAATTTCACCGGTTGCTATCAATTCCTTTATTAAAGTTCTCAGAGAAAATACAAATCCATTTAACTTCTCCACCACTGGATTCAGTGGTGGAGTGACCTCTTCGATCGGTTTTTCAAACGGAATTTGATAATAATCATATTCATCCTCTAATTCTTGGCGGGAGATTGTCGACGATGGAGTTGGCCAATAAATTCTTCCCGTACGATAATATTGAACAATATAACGAAATATCTTTCCGTCTCGATCTATGAAATATTCGTTTCCGTTAGTAGGATGAAGCATTTCATTATTTCTTTCCGAAAACATCGTTCCCAATAAAGTTTCTTCGTGCGCTGTTAGTATTGACTTATATGTTTCGTACTAGCGAAAGAGATTTGACGTTCAGTAAACTCAAGTTTTATTTTATCTTGTTTTTTTTCTTTTCAACCTTCTCTTCACTCACTTTTGTTCCTCCAACATTTAAAATTATTGTTTTCTCCAGATTTTTATCCACATAGTTTCTTTCAACATTTCCTCTCTTGTCGCTCATGATCTTCCACCAACGTATAAGGCAAGCGTCTGTTTGAAGTACCGTATACAAAATTTTGCGCTCTAGATGATCACAAAAAATACACGTGCGCATTATCATTACAATATATACACCAGCTACCTTGATGATTTATGCATTATTAAGGAAATATTATGTCCCTACCAAATCAAAATTCTATTCTGAAACCTCCCAAAGAACGGGACATCATTTCTTCAAATCCCCAAAGTCCTATTACACCAAAGCGTCATGTTCGTCGAAAATCTTTTTACCCTTCAACCTTTAGTTTCCTGCTTGGTCACTTCTCCTCCCTTCTTCAATATCTAATCCGCCAAACATTTCGCTCAAACAACTTGCCCTTTATCCTAACCTTTCTTTGGCATTCGTTCCACATACGCAGACTTATATTTTTTCCTCGTGCATTCTTGAAAAAGTATACCGCCTCGGAAAGACAATTGTTACCAGCGGTTGCTGTCGACTTGATCAGAAGGATAGGCAGCCTCAACATTTCCTTGGCCTTACTGGCTCTTTTGGCATTGGTTAGATTTCGAGATTTATCTGCGCAAAAGGTTGCATTATTGGTGTTGACCGTGGCCAACGGAAGTCAAACATGGAATGATGTCTCGACTTGGTCGAGTGGGAGGTGGAGTTGGACGCACTTGATCGAAAACGGTGGGGGCAATGGTCTGATAACATTGGTAAATTTTATAGCTTACATTTTGTCAGTGGCGAAGAGTGGATCATTGTGAATTGTGCGTGATAATGTACATAATGATAGTTGTATTATTATTAAAAAAAAACAACAAAAGAATATTCTTTTTTCTTAATCGGAACCATCTTTAGTAACTTCTATTTCGAGGTCATTTCAGGTGCAAATTAAATGATGTAATGTGTAGTAATATATATATATACAGGGGTAGGATGTAAAGATTTCAATTATTTACCGTAACTTAATATATAGAGAACAAAACCATATCTAGCAGCACTATAGAATTGTGGGTTTTATTAAAATTACTGATATCCCAGAATTCTCATTGATCACTAACCGAAATGCTTGTTTCACCTGGACAGGTGGGTACTTGGGCGTATCAATTTCTCCAAATGTGAAATGATCAAATTTCTTCCCCTCTCACCACCCATCCAATTCTTTACACGAAATGACGTGAACACCGAATTCATCGTTTAACTTTCTTAACACACCTTCTAGACCATCTTTACCAAATATAGTTCCCCAAGAGACGCCCAAGTACCTCAAAGTTTTCCTCTTTTCTAAATATTTAATCATTACTTCCAGATAAGAGTTGTCAAATGTTATATTTTTATCCAGAATCAAAGTTCTCAGTGGAATTTCGAAATCCTGCAGAAAATCTTCCAATTCTGATGGGTAGAATAATAAATCAATGTGTAAATAAATCAATGTCATGGGTAAACTGTACTTTATGAATGATAAGATTCCCCCAAGTCCATAGCCTGCCCCGTAAATGGTTAAGTCTACAAGCTTAAATGAACATATTAATTTACAAAGTTGTTCTTCGTCAGCCATTGATACATCAATCGTTAAGCTAACTAAATTCGGACAGTGTTTAATCGTTGATTCGACTATCTCTGATGTGGTAAAGCAAAGCCATAAATACTGCAATGATTTGCCGCCTTTCTGAATCATCGAATTAACAACCTCCGATGAAATCTGATCTAAAGACAAGATATTCAATTTTTTAAGGCGAATGTTGGAACACAATAAATATTTGATATTCTCCATCGTCAGGGCGTCATCAAATCCCAAACTAAGGTTTTCTAGCTTTTCACAGGTGGATAGGACCTGTAAAGTAGTTTCGTCCAATTTTACCACATTAATCTGAATTGAAATCAACTTATCGGCATGATGTTTAATCGCCGGCACAATACTCGCCCCGAAATTCCCCGAACACAAAATCCGAATTTCTTCAAGATGCTTTTGCGCTTGAATGATCTTCGAAATCGCCTCTGCCACCTTGCATTCTCCCTTAAAGCTGATTAGCATAACCTCTAGATACTGGAGACTAGTACAAAGGGTAGGAAAATTTTCCAAAAGTTGGATCGTTTGTTCTAAGAAATTTGAGTTAAAGTGAAATCTGACGTGATAAATAAATTTTGTAAGCTTAGATAATCCAGGTTGAATCGAAGTAAATGTTGAAAGTTCTGGAAATTCTAGGCAATAATTCTTAGTTTCAATGACCATGGACTTTAGGTTCACACACTTTCTCATGAATAATCGACAAAGTGCCGTATTGATCTGATAGACCTGACGCTTTTGAACCGATCCAATATTTTTGTCAGTCATCACCCAATCAATCGTTGCTCCGATGTAATATCGATACTTGAGATTTTCCAGGAAGATTGGATAGTCAAATAGAGGTCGACTTAAATTTGAGACGTCTATTCCATTCTCAGCCAATGATAACTTCTCGTGATCATCGAGTGACGAAAGGTAGGCTTGGATGATTTTTCCACCTTTCTTCGTTATACGCTTTTCGAATGGCTGCCTCCAGAGAATGGGCACGGAATTTCTGCACCAAAATCGATTCACCCTAAGACAAGAATATAAACTTTTACGATCGTCATCTAGATGTAAAAAAATATTATATATACATTCACTTGGAAACGATTGAATAGGCATCGTATTCATTTTTACGGGCAGAAATTGTGTGCATCACGTTTATTTATACAATTTCTCGTAATTGTGTGACACGAATTTACACGTGCTTTCTGAGAATGGATGCCTTGATGGGATTTAAGGAGTAACAAAATTAATGGCAAAAAAGAAATTTCCAAGTTTATTTTTCGACTTTAAAATTGAAGAATTGGTTGGCACTAATCAGGGATGGAAATTATTGCTTGAAAAAATTGTAAAAAGTTCGATGTCTAGATAAAATTCTATATCTTTTTTTGACTTTATTATTTTTGGTAATATGTCTCTCGATCGTATATGATACACTGTAGTAGCTAATTTATAATGGTGCTACGTAATAATATACTTTAATATACTTATATAATTACACAAATGTTTAAAGATTGGTAAATAAATAAGTTTCTAATTTATAATATATACGATGGTGATCAAAAAATAAATTATGAAAAAATTGACTAGTACTTTTATTCTATTATAAAATATATACGTATATTATATATTATATAGTAGTAATAAAAAATATATCAATCAAGTGATATTAGTTAAATTATACAATATTTATTTAATGATACTCAAATTTTTATTATAACTAGTTTAAAACAAATATTTTAATTTCTAATATTTTGTTTTATCTTCTTTATTATTAACAATTAATTTAATATGTTTTGATATATTTTTTTTCATAATTAATTATAAGTTTCAATTAAGTTAAGATCAAAAAACAATAATAGTTAATCAAATACTTGGAAATATCAATTTTTCAACAAAATAATTATAAATTTTATATAATATTTTAAATTATTATTATAACAATTCTAACTTGTAATTATATTATAAAATATATATTATATCTAGTAATCTAAATATTTTAAAAATATTTAACCTGTTTCTAACAATTTATAAGTTTAAAATATATTTTTAGATAATTGTCAAATATATATATAATATAACTTTAATCCTTAATAATATGTTATATTACTATAATATTATTAATCAATCATTATAAATTAATATAATTAAATTAAAAGCATAAGATTATAGAATATATATATTATTATTATTATCTTTTTTTATATTTTCTTTATATTAATTAAATATATATATCTTTAAAAATTAAGTTTAATATAGATATATTTATTTTTATATTTATTTATTTATTTATTTATTTTATATTGTATAAAATTAATACATATAAAAAGATATCTTTTTAATTTTAATAAAATTTTAACTTTTGTTAATGTTTAAAATTAAATATTAAAGCTTATTGTTTTTTTGCAATCACAAATAATTTCTTTAAAATTTTTATAATTTAATAATAACAA